GGGCTTCTATTTGTGGCGGTAGTGTTATAATGATGACAGGGGAGATTCAGCTCTTATAGAGACCTATCCAACTAAACTTGTTTCAAGGGATTCCTATTAAGTTTTTATGCGTGCTTCTATTCCTACATAATCTCTAATGTTCCATATTTTGGTATATTACCTTAGAATCGTTCCTATGTAACGTTTCCATNAAAAGTAATTACAAGAAGTTCATGCATCTGAGTGACGATGCTAATCAGCAGTTTGAAAATAATAGTAGAGATACATCACCACTGCATAACGACATCAAAAAATCAGTTTAATATGGCTACAACAGTCAGCAGCCACGATAAATCTTACATTGCAAGAACCGATCACTTTCGAAACCCTATAATTTTCAGTACCCTGAGTTGAAAGTTAGGACCACCTCTTCTTATTTGATGCACCGTCTAAACCACTGTTAATGTGAACAAGATACAAGTGGACATATGAAGCATACACAGCGAGAGGTAATAAACATGAGAAAATGTTTGGATAGTGATACAGTGCACGGGCGATGTGCCTCAGATAGTTTCCAAATCGATGACGTTGTTAAGTCCAGGGTTTAAGTCGATCTCTTCCATTTTGTCTGCAGGGAACACATTCACCTGAATATACTTCATCGATTCATTGTAATGATGTAGCTTCTGCTTTTTTTTACTATGCTTCGTACATCACAGAAGGGCCTAACAATCAATCGAGTCTTCTTTTTCACGCTCTGCTTAAACAATGACAATTTTACTGATGAACAGTCTCTGGTTTACGTAACCAATGTCTTATTGTTAGACAGTACAGATCGCTAGTAGAGGTCCATTGAGTCCCTGTTTCACCACTATTCACCAAAGACGTCATCAAAATCGAATCGAGTCTTAAATGTTACCAAATTCCCTTTCAGTGAAATGCGTAAGTGAAGGCTGACTACAAAGGGAGAGAAGTTTCGAGCTCTTTTGATTTCGAGAGTGGGGATAGATGCTTTCAGATAGTCCTTCAAAGTATAGTTCAGGCGAAGGCTATGGTCACTACACGAGCCAGGTCAGCGGGTAGTGTTCAGAATAGTGGGCTTCTATTTGTGGCGGTAGTGTTATAATGATGACAAGGGAGATTCAGCTCTTATAGAGAGCCATCCAACTAAAGTTGTTCCAAGGGATTTTATTAAGTCTTTATGAGAACTTCTATTCCTACATAATCTCTAATGTTCCATATTTTTGCTATATTACCTTAGAATCGTTCCTATGTAACGTTTCCATTGAAGACATCACCGACACCGTGTCCAGCCGTTTCTATAAAACATGAATTACCCTTCAATATGCTTCCACTTTCTTGTAACTGATCAACCACTGACGTTTCTAGCCGGCGTCGACTCTTCCTTTATCCTCTCCAGTGGTTTCGGCACATACCTTTGTGGTACTCCTTGTTCAACCTGAAATGGTTCGCGTTAGAGCCAGCCGATGAGTAGGGATAAGAATATTTGAATTCGTTAATTTTTGCATAATATTGATGGCATGCTGGTTGGAGGATATCCAAACAGGGTTAGGCTGTAAAGTTAGGCTGTCCGGTGCTTTTATGTGTCATTCAATATTTCCTGGCTAGAGTTTCGTGAAGTAGGTGCTTTCTGCATTATTATCAAAAATTGCGAGAACTGGTGGGTGCCGTCTGACCAATCCCTGAACCACTTCTCATTTAGTCATTCATCCCATGCTTTGCAGGCGTGACGCTTGTCCCTGCTTTTTTTTTTCGAAATTCGCTGAACTGGGGTAATTAAGTAAGCATATATCCAACGCCGTCTTACATCAAAGAGGTATTCTACTGGCAATGCCAACCTAATGAACCGTTTTACTTCTTTTGAATTTAGTAATTAGAACCACCTGCCTTATCTATCACGTCCTCCTGCTTTAGATGTTGTATAGATGATTGTTGGATAGATGATCTGCTGCCTTTATAAGAGCCACTTCTATGTGACTTTTCGCCGTCGATGCTATCTGCACGTTTTGGAGGAGCGATACTGTCGGCGACTGCACGAATCGAGAGTGACCTCTGACGGGTCTTCCTGAAAAGAAGGTCCCTTATCTAAAAAAAGTGA